ATTTTGAGTTTCCGGATGTATAGGTCTCGATCAGAGGCAGTTCTTCAAGCCCCCCCCCCCCCCCCCCCCACAATTAAAAAAAAAAAAAATAACAAAAAAATAATCAAACTGTCTTTGGTGCTTTGGTGACTACAAACTCAAGAATAATGTAGGTCTATGCATAAACTTTTGATGTTTTTACAAAGACAACACTTTAAGAAAATGATACAAACGACAAATCAAACTTTCTTTTTCTCTTTCTTTGATTCCTTCATGACCTGAGCTAAATTCAGACTCCCTCGCACATGCACCCATTACCAGCAGCATCCCGTGATGAGAATCAATAGGACATGCTGCTCCAGGAATTCACTCTCTCTCCAATTGGGAGAGAGACAATTAAAGAATATTTCATTTATCCACCTTCCCTGTACGATCTCTACAAGCCACCCTACACACAACGGCTAAATTGGATAATGTGATAAATAAGAACAAATTGGCTTGATGTTGACAATGAAATTCTTCACTGTGTCACGTTCGTGGACATTCTTTTTTTATGCTATACCTCATTTCACCTCAAGCTCAAGAGTCAGCGGGTTAGCACTGGATGCTATTGTTAGGTAATTTGGGAGAGGTAAGCACGACAAGAGAACTGCTACGGCTCAAGTGCAACTGAACGATGAACAGAATCGCGCCATTCGACAGAAATTAACAAATTAAAAAAAAAAACATCGCGACGTTACGGGTTGTAATTGTCTATTTTCTTTTTAATTTGGTTGTAAAATTATTTTGAGCAAAGGGCAAAATCTTGTCCGAAGAGAGTTTATAGATTTAGTGTTCAAGGTCATCACGGTTTATGAAGAACTCTCTTTGTTAAATCACGATTTAATGGTTCTGTTCAATTTAAAAGCATTGACGCAAGTTGTTTGTAAACAGAAAACGAAAAGTCCTGTCTAATAATATATGACATAACTTTTGAGGCATTTCAAATTTATAGGATTTTTCGTAAACGCATGCGCGTCGAAAATAAAGAGTCAGAATTATCTTCATGACACACTAATTGCGCTGAACGTTTTGCTTGAAAATGACCGATGCCCGTTCTTCTTCACAAAAAGTATGACTTTAGGTTTAGGATTAATTGATTTGAGAAACTATGTGAGAACATAAAATAAAAAGAAGAGACGAGTTAAAATATAGAAAAGCAAAAATATTATGACCATCAAACAGAAGATGAGAGAAACAAACCACAAAATGAATAATTAAAAGAAGAAAGAATAGAAAGAAGAAAGAACAGAAAGAAGAAGGAAATATAATAATAATAATATGAAGAAGAATAAAGAAGAAAGAAAGAAAACGAGAGATAGACAAAAAGAGACTGAAACAGAATTGGTGTCTTGTGAGTTCCTCATTATTCCGATATTGTTGTTGACACATAAAAATGATATACCAATAAACAGTCATTATCAGCGACCTATCTGTATACTTCTCATCTGCAACACTCTAACATTCACACGGTTATTAGATCCATTCATGTATTGTATTTCTGTCCTGATCAATAATGATAGAGGTCGCGTGTCACTATTTGGGATTACCTCCCATTCTCCTCGGTCCATCATCCTCTTTGCATCTCATTCTTCTGCGCGGAATTAGAGACATTACACAAATTGGTCGCCTTTCTAAGTTTATAGAGCGCGCTAAATAGGAACGGACATAATGACAGGAGATAATCGGATCTCCGTTGATAAAGAGGATAGTCTTATTGTAAAGGGTGAGATACTAATCAATTAAGTGGTATTCACCGGCAGACAAGGTGTGAACGACATCTATTGTTGTAATAAGGCTAATGAGTATTTGACTTATGAGGATTATAGGGTATACTTGCTACACACACCAAACCGCAATGTATACTGATGTGTACACCTTCTGCCTCATGCAGTTTCATGATCATCATCTAGTTCTACGAATTCAAACGTAAAGTCGCACGCATAGCTGTATATTTTAAACGTAAAATAAATTATAAAATCTACAATGTGTTTTCTAATTAAGTAATTGGCTGCTTGATTTCCCATGTGAAGAATCAATTCAAACATTTTTGTAAAGTGTGTGATTCTAGTATTTTCCAAATTATATAGTATACTAATGTTACATTGGTCTGCTGCCGTGCCCATGTTTATGACAACCCAACCGACCCAATCACGCAAATATAAACCAATTTCTTTTGCATAAGTATCAACGCAGTGATGAGATATCAACCGCTTAATAATAATAACAATAAAAAAAAAACTCCCTTTCTATTTATTATCAATCTCTATTCAATGTTAAAGCTACGTAAAACAAAACTCTCAAATGTTAATAGCCAAATTATTAAGTGTCTTTAGAATTGAAAGTAATTATTACAAATTAAAAATATCTGTATCATATATTTTTTTTATTTCTCTGGTGATCTGGTTTTATTTTACAGGTTCTTCATTGATTCATAATTAGCATTAATTAACCAAGTCAGGTTTATTTGCATTTTAATTTGGCTGCGTTAACTATTTATTTTGAATAAAATCGAAATTTTAATAATTACAAAAAGCATAGAAACGTAATTATGCTGACTTATAAAGTAATCCGTGTATCATGACCGTATGACGACCAGATTTCCTACTTATTCATTACTCTATCACAACACTTAGATTTCATGAGATTATAGTCGACATGTGTTTATGCCCTTCTCCGCTATACCACTCCCAATTGAAAACTCTTTCGAAACACATCAGTTACAAGGTACATAATAGCTGTTAGTTTCACCGCTGAATAATGCATTTTCACGCCATCTATAAACGGTCCATTATTCAAGTACCCCAGAGCGTCTTGGCTTGCTTTTGTTACGGTAATGCAAGAAAAGCTGAGGAAAAGTTCAAGTCAAACGACCATCAAAAAACCTTCCGATGATGGTGATTGTCCTCTCGCCCTAAGAGACCGATGGTTAGAATATTATTATACCTCATCATCACCTTGAATATGCATAGAAGCCGTCTGCTCTTTGCGAAGAAATCACTTTTAGCCCCGCCCACAGCCCTGATTGGTGAAGAAACTCCAGAGACTGCGCAGGCGTACAGGTGGTTTATGTAAATCTGTCTCCTTCCTGAATAAAGTTTACGATCGCTCTCCATCCACGATCGAGGTGCCTAACTTTACGTCTGCGCCGATCGCTTGTTTTTGTGTGCGTGTTATATGTTTACGGATTCACCTCGCAAATTTGTTATTGATATTTTGAAAAGAGTTGCTAGCTGTGTGAAAAAATAATAAGAACTGCATGAACGGGACTAAACTCAGAGAAACGCTGGATCTGTCAAAAGCAGAGGAAAATCTGTTGGAAAGTGAACGTTTTGCCGCTTCGTGCAGTGCAGAGGCATCTGAGGAATCTACAGGGATCATGCGATCGAAAGCTAAGGCAAGGAAGTTGACGAATACAGGTGAGAGAAATTGGCATGGTGTGGTAGTTAGGCAGTATGATATTCCTTTTCTTCACCTAATCCCTAGGCCGATGGTGTCGGCTGCAGGGATGGATGATTTGTGTAGACCGTGCACCGCACCGTTTCCTCGCGAATTCTAGCGCCCAAGAAAAGGCTTACACCACCTCTCTGACCATTCTCACTGTTATTTGGACCGCGTGGTTCGTGAAATTCTACCACTCTAGTCTAACAGTTTGTTTTCTTTGAGCTGAATTTTCGCGTTATGAGCCCCTGGAATGCGCGGATGTTTTTGCAGCGGGATTTTCCCCTCCAAGGTCAGCGAGCTGAGCTTGCCCAGGCCGATGCTCTCCCGTATCTGTTCAACCAGATACCGCTGTATATAGATCTATCTGTATTGTGATTTGAGATTACTCCCTACTCGCTCTTTCTGTCTATCAATTTTAACTGGTCTGTTTTCCGCATAGCAACCAAAATTATCATACTCATAATCATTTCTTAACTTACTATATTAATGCATTTACCTTAGATCAAATTAAACACCTCTCACATGATATACAATCTGTTATTTTGCTTAAATTTTGTCCTAATTACTCAATTTGTAGTAGAATATTATTAACTGTTTAAATTGACAAAATACAATTTGTTACATTATTACTTTTCAAAATTGATTATGAGAAAATGTAGAAAAAATTGCAGTATTTTAAGTAATCAAAGTTGGTGGTTATGACATTTTAAAGCCAAGATTGCCTGATGTAATATTCTGAACTAATATATTCATGTATTAATTAAAATATATTGTCATATGACCCATATGAATACATAACTGTTAGTTTCTATGTTTGTCTTTTATTTTTAGTTATACTTGTTACTTTCTTCTTCCTTTCTCTTCCCTTTCTCATATCTATTCTTGTCATTCCAGTCTAGAAATATGAATTGTGATCATAATAAGTTAATATGGAAGTTGTAGTAAGGTTTTTACCACTTGTTGCATTTCCCCCCATTTTTGTATCTGCTCTACTCCTCTTTTCCAGCTGACATATCGTCGCTGATTTTACGAACCGGCATACGAAGCGTTTTTCGTGTCAATTTTCGATTTTAATATTTTTACATATTCTGAATGATATTACCATGATCAACCTTTCTGCAAAATTTTAGGTCATAAAACGCTTTAATTAAAAAGTTATTCGATTTTATAAAATGTGTGCGCTTTGTATGCCAGTTCGTAAAGCTCGAGTTAACGCGCGAAAAGGAATTTGTTGATTTTACGAACCGGCACGCCTAGCTATAACTAGTCTGCTAGCAGAATAGGATTCACCGAAATCTGATGCTTTAACTTCGAGTCTGCGTGGAACTGGTGAGTTGAGGTTTATTTTGTTCTCGATTCAATGAAAATGTATGCACGTCGTGATTGAGTTATCTATAAAATTGTAAATAAACCTCTCCTAAATTGGTGATTACCCTATGATTATTTCCTCTTTCGTAAACCCAGTCCCACATGTAGCGGGTTATGTTAGTGTACAAAGCACGTGCATGCAAACATTTTAAAAATGTTTCGCTCAATGAACGGGACCCATTAAATTAGATTCTGGGGTTATCGTAGTAACAACAGACCCAATTTATTTGCTACTAATCTGTGGGCTACAGTATATGTTTAGAACTTAAATTAATGTGATGTGGCAAACCTGGCATGATTTCAGAGATGGGTTCTGTATCTGTTGCTGTAGAAATATACCACTGTCACTATATAGTGACTAGTCTAGTGAGTAGTGAGTACACTGCATCAACATCTACCAAAGATCACCATCACATTTACCTTTACTTTAGTTTCAAATTCACTTTAGACCTGCATAATTTGGTCAAATATGTAAGTCTTTTCTTTGTATCCTTATTATAAGTATAAGTGGTTTTAGGTATGACCATATTTTGTCAAAGTGCAGATCTTCGGTAATAAAGTCTACCGTACATCTATACTCGTACTCATCGAAAGCTGTTTCACTTTCAGCAACTAAACAAGGATATTGTGGTGTGTTGTCTCTCATAGTGGTCACGATTAATTAGAGCAGAGTGAAAGAAATGACTTGAAACAATATAATTCAACAGTCTGACTGGGTCTAAACTTTAGTGCACTAAAATTATTGTACATGTAGAACCACATGCCTTCACCAGGTCAGGTCTAGCACTTGGTAGGTTTGCCAGTGTTAGAGATACGATTATCAAATATCAGGTTTTATTTTCTTTATAAACTATTGCTATTATAAATACCTTTATTCAAACATTAGATGGAGTTTATCCAGGATAGCCTTGTCCCGTAGAACAGGAACAAATCTACTAACTTGACTGATATCAAAAGGAGAAAGAATTCGGTACCAAGGAGAGGCACTTAGGTGAAAATGAAATAGGGCAGCAGGTGGTGGCGGGGAAAATGTTGGCAGTGTCGGAACCTGGACTTGTACACACCATGGATATGGGAGACATCCCATTAGCTGAGCTTGGTTAGTAATTATAATACATTTTTCTATTCAGATACTTTCTTCTCGTTAATGCACATCATCCAAATTACTTTCTATAAAGGCTGTTATCAAAACTGAGTACATCTCGTAGTTTGCAGTTGGGTACTGGTAGTGTGTAAAATAGATTAGTTGATATGCTTTTTAAAAATTGAGATTATGTTGAGAGGCTACAATCATTACACTGGGTTGAATTAATGCAATTCACTATTGTTCTTTACCGGAGATTTTGGGAACACAATTGCGGTCCCTTTGACCCCGAAGTGAGGAGGGGGGGGGGGGGGGGGGCAGTACCAGCCAGATAAAAAAATAATTATTAGGTGTGTTTATCTCCATAGTAACTTTAGTTAAATTATTTGTTTCTGGGTATAGTGATATCTAAGCAAACATTAGAATATGTTTATGGTGTAGAATGCTTCCAATGCAGTCCATTAATTTATCATTATTTCTGTTTCATTCTGAATAATCAATGCAAATATTATATGTATTGCTTTGCAGTGATTCAGATACGTTCACGCCCAATGACCGATGATACTAAGTTTGACTGCCCACAGACTGACAGCCTAAAAATGCTCCTGACAGAGTTGAAATGCCCATCAGAGGTCCAGCAAGGATGTAATGTCCCATACATTGACCCCTTTTGATTGAAGACCAGCCAACTTAAAGCTCACAGATTGGTGGTTAGTTATTCCTCATTCTATTTTTTTTTTGTAGCTAACAAAGACATACATTTAGCCTATGTTAATGTAACTAAATACGTGTATAATACTGAGTATTTTAATTGGTTTTGAAGTTTGACATACATACCTGAAAATAAATGAAATTACCACCTTCCAGTATAATTTTATGACTGATATCATTGTCCTAAAGAATGGTAAGTTTTTGAAATATGAATCATGCAATTTTCATTCCAGTTAAAGAAAAGTTATAGTTTTGGGTAATATTCATTACACCAACTAGTATATTTTAAGCATGTATTTATATGTACATGTTTGTGAATACAGTCAAACCTGTCTACAGCGACCGCCCAAGGGAAACACAAAAAGTGGTCTTCGTAGACAGGTGGTCTTTGTAGACAGGTTCCTTTAGTACATGTTTCAATGAGAAACCATTTTCAAAGGAAACAAAAAATGTGGTCCTTGTAGACAGGTGGTCTTTGTAGACAGGTGGTCACTAAAGCAGGTTTGACTGTGTCTGGATTTTATTCTGAAACTATGAATTGTGATCAAACAACATTCACAAGTGATTAGAATATTGTAATAAGAACTTAGCGAGTAGTTAGGTAAAAATAAGTTTAAAGAATTACCAGATGTATCTTTCTTTAAATTCTCTATTGACAATACTTGACATTCACGTTGAATCTGCTTGCAAAGTGAATATGGATTATCAAATTATTAATTGTTGTATAACTACCTTTCAGTTTGTATTCACAATTTATTATACATGTATTTAGATTCTGGGTAAGCCTGATATGAAGTTGTTGTTTTGTTTTGTTTTTGGCTGCTATACACATGTACCTACTCCAGCATACATGCATTTATCTGTATATAGTATTCCATGATATTTTCTTGTCTCATTTCAAAATTCCTCTGTTGTATTTTTATGCTCCCAATGAAATGAAATAAATGAATGATATTATTTTTTTTATTTCCAGTGATTCAATTGGCCCCAGTTCTACAAAAGGATAGCCCACAGTTTGCTGACAGCCCACACACTGACTGCTATTAGAACAATGGTCCACAAATAATTGCTCAACAAGTTGAGAGCAAAGGGATCCCAAACCCATGGACAACAGGTCACTGGTTTTTAGGTAAGTTACATGATTGTTTACACCTCCTGAATGCAACTATTGAGTGATATTTAAAAAGTGTCCTTCTATTAAGTTTTTTTTTTGCAGGGGATGTCTATTTTTATTACCTTTGGTTAGTGTACAGTGCAGCTTAGAGAAATTAGCTTAGGATTTGCAATTTATGCATTAACTTTGACTGCACTTTCTAAGTTTGTTGAATCATGATGTATGTGTTAGAACAAATTCAACACATTTTGTTGATTTCATTAGAATATATTTTTGTAAAAAATATCCGTTTGTGGCTGCTACAACCTCATATTCAGTAATTCAGACCAAAGCAAGATTTATTAAATTCAATGAACCATCCACATAAATAAACCAAGACTGATGAGGAATATTGCATATGTGATATTCTTTTCTAAACTGCTCCCAAACTTTTTTGCTCTCTGTGTTAAAGTTCTCGGACCTGGTGAGGACATCCCAAAGGCAGAATGAAACAAACCCCATGGAGTTGGATACAGACTTTGAGGATGAAGTACACAAAGTGGAATCTGACACAGAAAACTTCCTGTTAGCTGCTGTTGGTCAGTAATAGCACAGCAGATGTTTCACCTGTTATATTGGAATTTGTATTCATGTAATTTGAATCATAATCATTCAAATTATATACATCTATATATATATTACATAATTCTTTTAATTTTTCCAAGGTTTACAAGTAAAAGATATGTTCAAAATAACATTGTTATTTACACTTGGTTATTCCAAAACAACTTAATACAATAACAAGTAATCATGCTACAACATTGTATAATACATGATAATTTAAAGAGGTTTCCTGGGTGGGGGCCAATTGAAGAGCTAAAGGAAAGAATCATAGGAAGGAAGATTGTGTATTCTAAGATTTGACTTATCATCTACTGAGGAAATTACATAGAAGTTGGAAGGCTTTAGAATGAGGGCCACTACCTTTATTAGTTGGACATATATTTTGTTAGATTTACATTGTTTAATGCTTTCAGTTTCATACAGTAACTCTTCTCATGTTGGTGGATCTTTTCTGATGGGGGCTGAAGTGTTCATTTGTGAAATGACTTTCATTGACAAATTTTAAAGGGATTTAAATGTATTGTTGAAGAATGCGTTGTTGACATAATATGTATATAGTGGCCTTGCAAACTTCTAATCATCAATTGTCTTTCAAGTGACTGATCTACACCAATATTTCATTGGGGAGCAATAAACTCATGTAATTAATATTAACAAGTTGATTTAATTAGATCTGAAATACTCTGAATGTATATTCTATTCCCATTTGAGCTTTCAGTGTTTGGCATATCATCTGAAGAATTTCTAAAATATATATGATATGTCTTTCTAAACTGATCAGGAAGGGCACTGGATAATCACCTTCTCTGATCCAGTTCATTGTTGATGCTGTTTCTTTAGTAATGAGTAATCTAGCTTAGTTATAGATAAATTAAATTGAGAGTAGATTTCATGTGAAAGTACGCTTTGCTTGTGTTATCTGAAAAAGTTATTTCCTGTTCTAAAAATAGTATTATGCTGCAGAATCCTTGTGCATATACTGCAAGAAATTTAGTCAATTATGCATGAAAAATATATGAGCTGTCATATGGAGTAAGTAGATATTAGCTGCATCTCAAAATTACAATATTCATATTCATTGCAACATTTAAATAATATGGATAATGTGTACTATTTGTATGCATCATTTCTAAGTCTTCAAGAATCATCTTTTCTGTGGCGTATTTGTACTAATTAAGAAACTTGTTGAAATTTGCCAATGTTTTCAACTTGTCCATGAACCTCATTTTGGCTTCATAATTCCATCAAATGTTATAATTGAGTAAATAAAATGTCTTTATATTAATGCAAATCCATGGACATTTTTGACACCCCCAGATGTGCACACGTATGCATTTAGTATAAATTGTAATAAAAATTGAAATACATGTAATAGGATGAACATATTATTGTACTGTGCAAATATATTGTGCTTAATTTTACGCCGATTTGTAGATTGTTAGCATGCCTCTTGTAGTTTTGCTACAATCGTGTTTTGTAACAACTATGCAGCATTTTCTAATGGTTACATTTAATTGTTGTACAAACAATTAATCATTTCTTTGCTCAAAATGAGGATTAAATATGTATATTATCAATTTAAACCATGAATTTCAAAGAGCGAATTTTCTCTTTACTGTAACAGTAAAATATATAACTACACCGTGCCCCACATTATGGTACCTTGAAAATAATATGATAATATGTAAATTAGATACAATGTACCTCTCTGAATTTAAATTCTACTTTCCTTGAGGTAAAGAGGGATATGACTGAGATAGGAATATGTAAAATGTTATATAAGATAGAGAGAGATTGGAATGAAGAGAGAGCATGTGTGAAGAGAGAGGGATTGCAGTATTGAGTATCTGCCCAAGATGTGGACATTTTGTGATAAGAGTTGGGGAAATTACTTGATAAACCATGAAGGTATAACATCAAACAACACCCCTCCTTGAAAATTACTCCTCTTGGACAATACCCCCCCCCCCCCACACAGGACTATTAACCCCCGAGAGAAAACAAATCTGGTTTTATTAAAAAACCAACTTATTATCAGGGTCGACTTCCCCTTTAATGAACTGGGGTAATTGTCCTAATAATAGGGGGGGGGGGATTTTCAGGGGATGGGGGTTATTGTCCATGTATGTGGGGGGGGGGGGGGGTGGGTAGTTTCCCGGAGAGGTAATTTTCAGGGGGTGATTGTCCAGGGAGAAATTGTCCTGATACTATGGTAACGTAAATCATCTACGAATCGTATAGTATATGTTACAAACGTTAGTCGTTTATATGACTAGTAGGCCAACATCATAGAATTCAGAAGAGAACCACTCAGATATAATTTTTTTTCAAAGAGGAAAATACGGGATACTTAATGCGAAATAGAGAGAGAGAGAAGGGGTAGAATATTGGAAACAAATGAAAAAATCAAGAGAAAAAAAAAGGAAAAAAAATATAAATACAGGTTCAAGTGAGATATCAAAGATTATGCTAAACGTGTGATGCGGTATAGGAAAAAGATTGAATTATCCTCGTGACAATTCGTATTGACAATGTCATTTTAATGCACCATCAAACTCATATGCCGGTTCGTAAAACTTATCAGTGCGCGCAGCTACACAAGGCGCAAGTTTTACGAACCGGCACAGGATCAACGCGTGCCGGTTCGTAAAATTTTTCTTAACTACGCGCTCTATGCAAAATGCGCATACGAGTAATTTTACGAACCGGCATACGTATTTGACCATGAATGATACCCAATGATACCAAAAGTATTTCGTTTCTTGCTGTAATATTGAGTGCATATGAAAGAAAAAATTCAACTCTTATCACACATGTAATTCCATGTTGATTAAATGAAAGTACGGTATTCAAATGAGCATTTTAAACTGGCCGCTGTCTTTAAACACGATTATCTCGGAAACGTGTTTCCGCGCTGTGAGGCTTCGCGTGCCGGTTCGTGAAATCAGTGACGATATAGGCTCTTTTCATCTTGAAAATGTTTCTGTTTCTCTCTTTTCTTTCTTCATTTTCTACAATGATAATTTCTTTACTATCCTCAGTCTTTCACTTAACATATACTCATACTTCACTTGTGGTAACTGACATTGTTTTGGTTTGCATATTTGTCTTCATGATTTTCCCCACACATATTTGTTTATATCTTTAACTTCTTTTCTTAATTTAAAAAAAAAAAAAAAAATGTTGTCTCTATTCTTTCAAGTATGCATTTATCTGATAAATGTTTTCTCAGTCATCATGCAAATTATTTTCTTTTCTTGTTGAAATGCTACCTTGTAAACAAATTAAAATGGCATGATTGTCATTGTACATGTAACTTGTACTGTTGGCCTACTTCTTTTACCCCCTTCACAAGTTTTGTCTTGGTAAGTTACCATCCTTTCTACCTGATATCTGCTGCCCTCATTCTCTTTGAACTCTGAAACCAAAAACGTTCACATGCCTCACAATTTCATAAATTTTACAAGTGGTCTAAATTTGTAAACAAATTATGTAGGGAAACAATTTTTTTTAATTTTATTCACAAGCACAATGTTTTTTGAAATTTGCTAAAATTTGTTGCCACAAAAATGGGTATCATAAAGAATTAAGCCTTTTTGCCAAAGCTTTTGGTTATACTTTTACAGTATTCACCTTGAATTCATGATAGGCCTACATGTACCATTCTCTCATCTGTAAATCTGGTCCCTTATTCAATCTCTTCCATCTCGTTGAATATGTAACCACTGTGAAACCAGAAATGTTTGCAAAGTTTTGTGAAGGGTTCAGATTTTGATCACAATGGATGTACTTAATTTTTGCAATTCATTGAAAAGTAAACTTGGCCTCTTTAACAGTTTGTGAAAGTTGGCATTTCTCACACAATTTCCCCATCTTTCCGGAAACCAGCATCACCCATTCCCTTCAAATCTCTCTCTCTCGTGCATCTCTAATTACTGGTCAGTTTTGGGTGACCCTGGGTGTCTGGCCATTCACTGGACATTAGGATGATTCTCCAAGGTGAAATGTGGAGTTGATTTCAACGAGATACATTTCAGAATCGGCCCATTTACACACCCCCAAAACCATTTCGAAAAACCATTTGGTGTTTGATAATTCTGTTTTTTGTGTGTGAGAGTTGTGTGTATGCCTTAGCATGGAAGCAAGGTGAGTCACATGATCAAAAACCAACATTATTCATTAATATTCTGAGAGCAAGCATTTACACTGAAATTATGTGAATTTCTGCCAGCGTTTCAAAACCACACTCCAGTGAGAAAGAAAAAAAAAGATTATTATTTTTCTTGCTGTGTAAAATGCAGCTAATGTTACCAGAAAGTGTTCTCAGGTTCTGCACAAGTTTGTGTGTCTTGTATTTGAGGTTTTTTAAAGGCATTTTCTTGCATTTGATTTCAATTTCTCAACCTACGTATTTTCAAACAGTATATACTACTTAAACTGTTTAATACATGGCACTGGAGTCCATGTTCCGACTACTGCGAACACAGCATTCTTCCAGAATCTCGGGTAAAGGTAAAGTGCCCAAATTATGCGGCGATTCCATATGACATGTTTCTTGTATTTTTTCCATTGTACATGTTTGTTTATCCTGCTTTTGTTTTTTCTAAATGAATAATTATGTTTATAATATTTTACATTTTGTACTGTGAACTATGTATTCAAGCAGTAGCCTATGATTGCATTGAATGTTCCTTTTAACATGCTTGCTGTTATATTCTAAAATAAATATAACTTTTTGTGGTAAGAGATACAGAAAGGGGGAGGGAGGAAAGGTGCATGGGTGATGGGGACAGAGAGAGAGGGAGAGGAGGAGGGAGGGATATAGATAGGGAGGGAGGGAGGGGGAAAGGGGGAAAGAGAGAGAGAGAGAGAGAGAGAGAGAGAGAGAGGGGGAAAGAGAGAGAGAGAGAGAGAGAGAGAGAGAGAGAGAGGAGAGAGAGAGATTGGGGGGGGGGGGGGGGGAAGAGAGAGAGGGGGGAAAGAGAGAGAGAGAGAGAGAGGGAGAGAGATGGGGGGGGGGGGGGAGAACAAAAGAAAGGTAGGGAGGGGGTATTGTTGGTTAATATTTTTGATATCTAGAGGATAATCCTGGTAATCACATGCATATCGAATTAAAGAAGGCTTGCCAGTTTAAAAAAAAATATTTCTAACTAGTTTCTTGACCAAAACAGATAACTGGTCATTTTAATTGTTTTGTTTTGTCAAAGAATACAGAAGAAATAAGAAATGCACTGCACTATTAAAGAAGGCATTGCCATTATAAATTTAGAGCTAATAACTATAGATCAGCACCTCATTTCAAATGTGATGTATTTTGACATAAAGAATATCACAGTAGCTCCATCCTTGATTATTCAAATGTAAATTGGTTAATTAATGAAGCAGAAAAAGTAGTTTGTCAACCTAGTCTCATACATGTATGTTATTCAGTATCAACCATCATGAATTATTCATCACCTCATTTGATGGTATTAATATACACTGTACCTGCAATAATCAGCAAGCTCAGTACAGTAGGGCCCTGTATGATAAATTATATTGATCCATTCATTTCATTCTCTCGAATTTAAAAAGAGAGGAAATTTGTTTTATGATAACTATTTGAATTGTCAGAAGCAAAAATGTAGGAAGAATGGGGAAGGGAATTCAAAATGGGATATTGGGGATAAGGGATTAAACCATGAGCATGGTTACTACACTGTATACAGATAGTCTATGGTACATATTTATCAGCTTATATTTTGGCTTCACAAAGCACAATTGCCAGTAATTTAAAAGGCTGAATATAAGGGAGGGGGGGGGGGATGGTTTATTAAACTTGAGTGATTGAAAAATAAACCACTTAGTAGGAAATTTCATAAACATGGTAAAATTAAGACATCATTTTGTTCTTTAGAAGTTGCATGTTTTCTTTCAGGCAGTCAGTATCATATTAAGTTATGATCAGCTTAATGTCTACTTAAGGAACATTCATACAACATTCTAAATTAAAGATTGATTATCAGATTTTAAAAATAACTCATCACTCAAAGACTGCAGTGAAATTGGACTATTCCGATTACCAATCCATCCAGTACCCCCACCTATCTGTTGAATAAAAATGGTTGTATGAAGAATATGATTCATCCACTTACCACTATACTATAGGTATGGTTTTGTATGATAAATGTTTAATCCCAATAATGTATGATTCCATGAAGTCATGTTATCAGATCGCATCAAGTTTATTATGCTATGAAACAGAGACTGTGTGGGCTCAGCAGACAATTAATAATTGTTGACATGAAAGGGATGATTTGAACACTTAAAGAGATAAGGGATGACCTAAAACCAGACACACTGGTGCTTCCTTATGTCAATATAGACGCAGTATTGTTGATGAAGTGCACAACGCAAACAAAAGAAAATTGTAGAAAACTGTTTGGAGGAACCTTATCAAGCGAACACTAGCAGTGACAATAATTCCCTTGTGTTTGGTGAATGGCATACCATAGAGGGATGATCACTAAGGTGATTAACATGTGCTGGATCAGATCATACTCTGTGCCTTGCTTGGTATGCAAAGAGAAAGAAAGAAGCATTG